CATAACGCGCGTCGTGCCCCCTACCCTCTCCCCCCCCCCCTCCATCACGTAACGCCCCCCCCTCCACAACGTAGCGCGAATCAACAACTGCGCTCGCGCTCCTCGCGATACAGGGGGCAGGCGGTGGATATGGACAGATTCGGCCCCCGGGGGCCGAAATATATCCATATCCACCGCCCGCTGGGGCACCAGGACGTCAGTTTCCAGGCGGTGGATATTGATAAATCCCCGCCTCGCAACGGGGACTCTACCCGGACCCTGGAGCAGTCACAGAGACGACTCGGAAGGCTGGTCCTGCTCCTGCGCAGGCCTGATTTGTTCGATGCGCGGCTCCCAGGGATCCACGCTAGTTTTTTCCAGACCTGTGGCCAGTTGTTTCGTCGGGATGTTCTCCGATGGCCCCGACGCCCGAGCAAAAAGCAGTCCCCAGATGCCAATGGTGCGTGAAAATTACTCCGACAGTAGGACCCCACATGAGAATCTGTTTAGCTTACCCTTTGCCCTTTCCTCCTCCCCCTGGCGGACACCCTCTCCTCTCGCCCCCTGCACTGCCCTCTCTTCCCCTTCTATTTCTCTTCCTCCTCCTCTCCTCCTCCTCCTCCTCCTCCTCCTCCTCCTCCTCCTCCTCCTCCTCCTCCTCCTCCTCCTCTCGCGCCACCTCCTCCTCGTCGTCGGCCTCCCCCATGCCCCTTCCCTCCTCATCCCCCTGCCTTTTCTCCATGTGCACCTCCCCTTCCCCCTCGTCGGGGCAAGCAAATCCATTTTCCTCAGCGCCGTCGCCGCCTCGGCCAGCGCGCGCGCGTCTGCCGACGGCTAGATCGCGAAACCGTCGGGACAAACCTTCGGGCTGGGCCGTAGGCTCCCGCTCGAGACTTCATATTCAGGTCTCAAAAACCCAAAAGTGACGACAGTTGCACGTTGCGGATGACCCGCTCGGATTCGAACATGAAGTGCGGGCCCCATAGGGAGGGGGCTCCCGCCTGTGACTTCCTCACACTTCACTCACAGACGAGGCTCCCGCTGGAGACTTCCTCCATATTCAGGTCTCAAGAGCCCAAAAGTGACGACAGTTGCACGTTGCGGATGACCCGCTCGGATTCGAACATGAAGTGCGGGCCCCATAGGGAGGGGGCTCCCGCCTGAGACTTCCTCACAATTCACTCACAGACGAGGCTCCCGCCTGATACTTCCTCCATATTCAGGCCTCAAGAGCCCAAAAGTGTCGACAGTTGCACGTTGCGGATGACCCGCTCGGATTCGAACATGAAGTGCGGGCCCCATAGGGAGGGGGCTCCCGCCTGAGACTTCCTCGCAATTCACTCACAGACGAAGCTCCCGCTCGAGACTTCCTCCATATTCATGTCTCATGAGCCCAAAAGTGACGACAGTTGCACGTTGCGGATGACCCACTCGGATTCGAACACGAAGCGCGCGCCCCATAGGGAGTGGGCTCCCGCCTGAGATTTCCTCGCAATTCACTCACAGACGAGGCTCCCGCCTGATACTTCCTCCATATTCAGGCCTCAAGAGCCCAAAAGTGACGACAGTTACACGTTGCGGATGACCCGCTCGGATTCGAACATGAAGTGCGTGCCCCATAGGGAGGGGGCTCCCGCCTGAGACTTCCTCGCAATTCACTCACAGACGAGGCTCCCGCTCGAGATTTCCTCCATATTCAAGTCTCAAGATCCCAAAAGTGACGACAATTGCACGTTGCGGATGACCCGCTCGGATTCGAACATGAAGCGCGGGCCCCGTAGGGAGGGGGCTCCCGCCTGAGACTTCCTCACAATTCACTCACAGACGAGGCTCCCGCTCTAGACTTCCTCCACAGTCAGGTCTCAAGAGCCCAAAAGTGACGACAGTTGAGGGGGCTCCCGCCTGAGACTTCCTCACAATTCACTCACAGACGAGGCTCCCGCCTGATACTTCCTCCATATTCAGGCCTCAAGAGCCCAAAAGTGACGACAGTTACACGTTGCGGATGACCCGTTCGGATTCGAACATGAAGTGCGGGCCCCATAGGGAGGGGGCTCCCGCCTGAGACTTCCTCGCAATTCACTCACAGACAAGGCTCCCGCTCGAGACTTCCTCCATATTCAGGTCTCAAGAGCCCAAAAGTGACGACAGTAACACGTTGCGGATGACCCGCTCGGATTCGAACATGAAGTGCGGGCCCCATAGGGAGGGGGCTCCCGCCTGAGACTTCATCACAATTCACTCACAGACGAGGCTCGCCTGATACTTTCCCCATTTATTAAGCTCACGTCAGCGAAGTAGTGATGATGATTGATGATGATGAATGATGATGATGATGATGATGAGATTGATGATGATGATGATGCTGATGATGATGATGATGATTGAGAGGGATGCAAATATGGATGATGATGATGATGATGATGATGATGATGATGATTATGATGATTGCTGATGATGATGATGATGATCGTTCGATGCCGATGATGGTGAGTGATCGTGCGATGGTGATGGTGATGCTGATGGTGATGATGATGATGATGATGATGAGTGGGGAGTGATGGTGATGGTGATGATGATGCGGAGGAGGAAGCAAAGAGGAGCAGAGGAGAGGGAGGAGGACGAGAGGTCCTGCGCGGAGGGTGTGCAGAGAAAACCAGAACCCCCCACTCAGAATGTGGGGGACAAGTCAAAAAAAAAAAAAAAAAAAAACAACAAACAAAACAAAAAGAAACAGGAACGAAAAAAAAAAAAAAAAAAAAAAAAAAAAAAAAAACGTATAAACCAAGGAAAACAGCCTACACGCCATCGTTTTTTCCAACATATGTTCAAAGTTAGCAGAGTTGCTAACTTGTCTAACTCCGCGTAATTATACCGAACTAGAGGGACCAAGTTAGCGAAGTTAGTAAGTTCGTAACCTAGTTATAACAAATTATACTTAAATATAGCAGACTTATGACATAGTTATAACATGGTTATAACTCACGGTAAAACTTATCAACCACGCCGATCCTTTAGGCGGGGCCCAGACCTGGGGCCTGGACCTGCTGGGGTCTGGACCTGGGGTCCGGACCTGGGGACCGGACAGGAGGACTGGACCTGAGGTCCGGACCTGAGGTCCGGACCTGGGGCCCAGACCCCAGACCTGGGGCCCAGACCTGAGGTCCAGACCTGAGGTCCGGACCTGGGGCCCAGACCTGAGGTCCGGACCTGGGGCCCAGACCTGGGGCCTGGACCTGCTGGGGTCCGGAGCTGGGGTCCGGACCTGGGGCCCGGACCTGAGGTCCGGACCTGGACCTCAGGTCCGGACCTGAGGTCCAGACCTGAGGTCGGGACCTGGGGCCCAGACCTGGGGTCCAGAAAGTGGGCCCGGACCTGGGGTCCGCACCTGAGGTCCAGACCTGAAGTCCAGACCTGAGGTCCGGACCTGAGGTCTGGACCTGAGGTCTGGACCTGAGGTCCAAGCCTGAGGTCCAGACCTGAGTGCGGACCGGGGCCTGAACTGAGGGTCCAGGACCTGAGCGTCCGGAACCTGAGGTCCGGACCTGAGGTCTGGACCCTGACGTCCGCGACCTGGGGAATGGACCTGGGGCCGGACCTGAGTCTGGACTGAGGTCCGGCCATGAGGCGCGGACCTTGAGGTCCGGACCACGGGCCTGGGAAACTGGGGTACCGACCTGGGGTCCGGACCTAGGGCCGGACCTGGGGTCCCGACATGAGGTCCAGACCTGAGGTCTGGACCTGAGGTCCGGACCTGGGCCAGACCTGAGGTAGGACCTGAGGTACGGACCTGGGGTTGGACCTGAGGTCCGGACCTGAGGTCCGGACCTGGGGTCTGGACCTGGGGCCTGTACCTGAGGTCCGGACCTGGGGCCTGGACCTGAGGCCCAGACCTGAGGTCCGGACCTGAGGTCCGGATCTGAGGTCCGGACCTGAGGTCTGGACCTGAGGTCCGGACCTGAGGTCCGGAGGTCCGGACCTGGGGTCCGGGCCCTGAGGCTCAGACCTGGGGCCCGGACCAGAACTGGTGCCTGGACCTGCTGGGGTCCAGACCTGGGGTCCAGACCAGCTACCTGGGCCTGCTGGGGTCCCGACCTGGTACCTGGACCTGGGGTCCGGACCTGAGGTCCGGACCTGAGGTCCTTGACCTGAGGTCCGGGACCTCAGGTCTGGACCTGGGGCCTGGACCTGAGGTCCGGACCTGAGGTCCGGACCTGAGGCCCGGACCTGAGGTCTGGACCTGAGATCCGGACCTGAGGTCCTGGACCTGAGGTCCAGACCTGCATGGGCCCAGACCTCCTGTGGCTGCGGCGCCAGGACCTGGGGTCTGGACCTGAGGTCCAGACCTGGGGCCCAGACAGGCGATCATAGTTGGGTCTTACGCGAGATGACGCAGCGAGCTTACGCGGCGGCTTACGCGGGTCGCCAGCGCGTCACACCACCTTGGAAACGAGGGTGTTCACGCGCGACCTTACGCGGGCAGCTTACGCGCCAATGTCGGAGCACACGACTCCGTGTTCTTGCATCGCTAATCTGCCTCTCCTGCTGGCGAACAGGGTCGGCGCCGCCAGCCTCTAGGCCCTCTTCACTGGCCGACCCCCCACATCTTCCAGTGCGCTCGAATTACGCCCCTCCACCGAAATCTCTTTCCACTGGCGGCCCGCTACGCTTCCCGACAACGGCACCAGAGGACCGCGTGAGCCTGAATTTCGTCGGCGCCATTGCAATATCTGCACCTGGGTTCAGCAGTGGGTCCTCCAGGGAGGGACGGGGAGAGGGACGGGGAGAGGGACAGAGAGGGGGACAGATAGAAAGCGAGAAACAGAGAAAGAGAGAAAGAGGGAGAGAGAGAGAGAAAGAGAGAGAAAGAGAGGGAGAGATTGAGGATGGGAAGAGAGAGGGAGAGAGAAAGAGAGAGAAAGAGAGAGAAAGAGAAACAACAACAAGAAAGATGGCGAGAAAGAGAAAGAGGACGAGAAGCAGGGCAGCGAACGCTCCGGAGAATCCGAGCGGGCAGGCCCTCAGAGGAACACGCCCCTCGGGATCGCGCCAAGGCGCGGCACCTCGGCCTCACCGCGCACGGGGTGGCCGCCCGCGGCCCACGCCGCGCGCAGGGCGGCCGCGCCCTCGTCCCCCACGCGGTTGCGGGCGAGGCCGAGCACCTGCAGGCTCGGCAGGGCGCCCGGGGCCCGGAGGGCCTCCGCCAGGGCGGCCGCGCCCTCGTCCTCCACGCGGTTCTTGGCGAGGCCGAGCACCTGCAGGCTCGGCAGGGCGCCCGGGGCCCGGAGGGCCTCCGCCAGGGCGGCCGCGCCCTCGTCCCCCACGAGGTTCTCGTCGAGGCTGAGCACCTGCAGGCTCGGCAGGGCGCCCGGGGCCCGGAGGGCCTCCGCCAGGGCGGCCGCGCCCTCGTCCCCCACGCGGTTGCGGGCGAGGCCGAGCACCTGCAGGCTCGGCAGGGCGACCGAAGTAAGCACCGCGGCCACCTGCCTGAACTCCTCGTCCCCCCATTCCAGCCCCGCGTACACCAGCTGCTCTGCGGACTCGAAGCGCTGCGCGAACGCCCACCGGTATAGCTCGGCAACCCGCGGGCGATCGTCCTTGCCGTTCGTGAAGCTCTTGCTGTGGAGCTCCGCTTCGAAAGCGTCGGGCAAGGCGGGCGCCTTCCGCCCTGCGGCGCACGTTGATACCAGAGCGTCAGAGCCGAAGTTGCCCAAATATGCTGTCTCGTCTCCAGTGGCTTGTCCGAGGTCCACCAAAAGGAAAGAAATCTTCGTCAACATTGCCCATGAGGACTCGCAAAAACACCAACCGCGGTCGAAATAAAGTGCAGTGTTGCCAGATCGGGTGTATACTCCAGGATTGTCGTAATCATCGGGGAACCGTGTCAGCATGAATACGACTGTGGCAGGGTGGGAGTAGAAACTCCCAAGGCTGTCCAAGGCCTCCTTGAAGAGCTCACGCTCGCGCTCGAAGCGGCCGATTGCGCCGGCCTCAAAGCAATCTGACCCTTCGAGCCGCTGATACGTGCACCGCCGAGGGGCACCCCCGTGATCCCTGCAGTTCTGATGGATGCAGATGAAGTCCATGAACACTGCTCAGCGGCCAGTAAAACTAGGGGAAGGATCTGCGGACAGCAGCTGCAAAGCCCGGCCCAGGATGCGCAGGTTGTGGCCGTGAGGGTCGGGGTGATTAGCCTGCAACCAGCAATGTGAGACACAAGCTATGTGCAGCAGTGGAACTTGGCCCTCGCCAGTAACAGCTTTGACCCCGCTGTGGGGCATGAACGCAGTCGGCGGCAAAGCCTGGCGCGGCTCAAGGGTTCCGCCGGAGCCCACCCGCTCCACCACCCACTCCGCGTCCACCAGGACAACCGCCCCGCTGCCGAGCACGGGGTCGAGCTCAAAGCCGCCGAACTTTTCCCACAGCTCCTGCTTCCGCTCCGTCACTTCCACCTCCTCCAATTCGGGCAGGTGCGGCTGCCGCGGACCCCCCGCGGCCTCGCTGGCCTCCTGCCCCAACAGCAACTCCACGGCCTCGCTGGCCTCGCTGGCCTCGCTGGCCTCCACGGCGCCACCGTCGCAGCAACTCCAGCACAAGCACTTCGCAGCCAGCGCGCCGCCCTCGGGCGCCGACATCTTGGAAGCCGCACGGAGGCCCAGGTGGCCCACCGCACCGCGGCGTCGCGCAGCAGATGTGCGCAACAAGCAGCGGGTCACCAGAGGGTCGGAACTGGGGAAACCAAAGGTACCGATACTGCTGCTCCCCGGACCTCTCCCGGAGTGCGTTCTGACCCGGATTTCGAGGCGAGTCCAGCGGTGGCGACGAGGGCCTCCCAAGAGGCCGAGATAAGGGAAAGCGAGGGAACCGCAATGGTAATGGGCACCTTTTCCTCCTCCGAGGAACTCCCGGTCTCTTGGGCCAGGCTGCGGACCCCCTCTCTCTTCTCGCCCTCTTCCACTCCACGATTCGCCTCCACCCCCTCTTCCTTGCCCCCCCGCCCCCACTCGTCCGATTGGTGCCCCCCCCTGGCTCGCCCTCGCTCTCAGCGCCCTCTGCTCTCCTCACGAGGCAACGGTTTCACGGATTGAGACGGGTGGATTCCAAAATGTGGCTCTCGCCGTAGCGCCGCGCGCTTTCGATTTTTAACATTTGCATGAGCTTTACGGATTGAGAGCGGATGGTTTTCAAAATGTGGTTATCACATTCGCGCCGCGCACATTCGTTTCGCTAGTTCTAGCTAGGCTTGATAAGCTAACTCGTGCAATCTCATGTTGGTCGCTTCTTGCGTCTGGACTTTGAACTCACGTTCTGTACCTTATTCAATTTAACCTTGATAATTGACCTGCAGCGCTTACATAACCGATTTAGCGGGATAGCTAAGCATGTTAGTAAGTCACTGACAACACTTGCGGGCCATGCAGTTACATGGGCATAGTAAAGGGTAAAAACACCCTAACTAAACATTCGCACCCCTCAGTAAACAAGCCCAACCCTTAACGACCGCTGCAAAAGTTAACAACCCCCACGTCCACCCGGCCCTGACCTGGGGACTGAATCTAAGGTCTGGACCTGGGAACCAGACCTGGGGCCGGGACCTGAGGTCCGGACCTGAGCCTGAGGTCCGGACCTGAGGTCCGGACCTGAGGTCCAGACCTGGGGCCCAGCCCTGGGGCCCAGCCCTGGGGCCTGGACCTGCTGGGGTCTGGACCTGGGGTCCGGACCTGGGGCCCGGACTTGAGGTCCGGACCTCAGGTCCGGACCTGGGGTCCGGACCTGGGGCCAGACACCCCGGGCCTGGACCTGCTGAGGCCCAGACCTGGGGCCGGACCTGAGGTCCGGACCTGAGGTCCGGACCTGAGGTCTGGACATAGGGTCCAGACCTGGGGCCCAGACCTGGTGCCTGGACCTGCTGGGGTCCAGACCTGGGGTCCAGACCTGGTACCTGGACCTGCTGGGGTCCGGACCTGGGGTCCGGACCTGGGGTCTGGACCGGAGGCCCAGACCTGGGGTCTGGACCGGAGGCCCAGACCTGTGGCCTGGACCTGAGTTCCAGACCTGGGGTCCAGACCTGAGGTCCAGACCTGAGGTCCGGACCGGTCTGGACCTGGGGCCCGGACATGTGGCGCCCGGTTCCGGGGTCTGGACATGAGGTCCAGACCTGGGGCCCCGACAAGGGATCAAAGCAGTTCTCTTGGGCTGTTCTTGGAGCCTCGTCGGGGTCTTTCTGGGGCCTCTCAGGGATCGGGGGTGTGTTGGGGGCCTCTGGGTGGTCCCAGAGGCCTTTCGGAGGTCTCTGGAAGCCTCCTGCCCCCGCTCTTGGCCCCATCTTGGGCCTGCTCTGGGGTGGTCTGCGGCTGTCCTGGGCGCCTCTTCGGCAGTCTTGGAGCCTTCTTGGCCCGTCTTAGGGCCGTCCTGAGGGTCTCTTGGGTGGTCTTGGGGCGGTCTTGGCAGCCTCGTCGGCGCTCTTGGACGGTTGGAAGCTCGAAAACGCGAGAAGCCCCAAAAAATGATGATCCCGGCAAAGCAACCTGACAGCGATGTGTATAAGCATATCTGGAAGCATTCCCCTTAAGATTCAGGTGAGAATCCAGTTGTAGAATTCTGCTGTTCTCGCAGTCGCAGTCGCATTCGCAATGACAGTCGCAGTGGCAACTGCCTTAGGATCCAATGGAATCCTAAGGATTCCTAGGGTTTCCTAAGGCATCCTTAGGCATCCTTAGGAATCATTAGGAATCCTTAGCCTCAGCCTCATCAGCCTCAGCCTCAGCCTCAGCCTGCCTCAGCCTCAGTCTCAGCCTGCCTCAGCCTCCTGAGCCTGCCTCAGCCTCATGAGCCTGCCTCGGCCTCAGCCTCAGCCTGCCTCAGCCTCAGCCTCAGCCTGTCTCAGCCTCAGCCTGCCTCAGCATCAGCCTCAGACTCAGCCTCAGCCTCAGCCTGCCTCGGCCTCAGCCTGCCTCAGCTTCAGCCACAGCCTCAGCCTGCCTCAGCCGCAGCTTGCCTCACCTCAGCCACAGCCTCAGCCTCAGCCTCAGCCTCAGCCTCAGCCTCAGCCTCAGCCTGCCTCGGCTTGCCTCGGCCTCAGCCTCAGCCTGCCTCGGCCTCAGCCTCAGCCTCAGCCTGCCTCAGCCTCAGCCTGCCTCAGCTTCAGCCACAGCCTCAGCCTGCCTCAGCCGCAGCTTGCCTCACCTCAGCCACAGCCTCAGCCTCAGCCTCAGCCTCAGCCTCAGCCTCAGCCTCAGCCTGCCTCGGCTTGCCTCAGCCTCAGCCTCAGCCTGCCTCGGCCTCAGCCTCAGCCTCAGCCTGCCTCAGCCTCAACCTCAGCCTCTCAGCCTCAGCCTGCATCAGCCTTAGCCTCAGCCTCAGCCTGCCTCAGCCTCAGCCTCAGCCTGCCTCAGCCTCGGCCTGCATCAGCCTCAGCCTCAGCCTGCCTCCTTCAGCCTCAGCCTCAGCCTCAGCACTGCCTCAGCCTCAGCCTCAGCCTGCCTCAGCTTCAGCCTCAGCCTCAGCCTGCCTCGGCCTCAGCCTCAGCCTCAGCAGCCTGCCTCAGCCTCAGCCTGCCTCAGCCTCAGCCTCAGCCTGCCTCAGCCTCAGCCCTCAGCCTCAGCAGGCCACAGCCTCAGCCTCCTGCCTCGGCTTGCCTCAGCCTCAGCCTCAGCCTGCCTCGGCCTCAGCCTCAGCCTCAGCCTGCCTCAGCCTCAGCCTCAGCCTGCATCAGCCTCAGCCTCGGCCTCAGCCTGCCTCAGCCTCAGTCTCAGCCTGCCTCGGCCTCAGCCTGCCTCGGCCTGCCTCAGCCTGCCTCCGCCTCAGCCTGCCTCAGCCTCAGCCTCAGCCTGCCTCAGCATCAGCCTCAGCCTCAGCCTCAGCCTGCCTCGGCTTGCCTCAGCCTCAGCCTCAGCCTGCCTCGGCCTCAGCCTCAGCCTCAGCCTGCCTCAGCCTCAGCGTCAGCCTCTCAGCCTCAGCCTGCATCAACCTCAGCGTCAGCCTCAGCCTGCCTCAGACTCAGTCTCAGCCTGCCTCAGCCTCAGCCTGCCTCAGCCTCAGCCTCAGCCTGCCTCTTCCTCAGCCTGCGTCAGCCTCAGCCTCAGCCTGCCTCAGCCTCAGCCTGCCTCAGCCTGCCTCAGCCTCAGCATCAGCCTGCCTCGGCGTGCCTTAGCCTCAGCCTCAGCCTGCCTCGGCCTCAGCCTGCCTCGGCCTCAGCCTGCCTCAGACCGGGCATTCAAAATATGGCACAGGACTGGTGTTCTGGGAGCACAAAGATCACGAAGTGGCCCACAGTTGGCTCCAGGCAATCAAAATATGGTACAGGAATGGTGGTCTTTGAACACGAAGAACACGAAGTGGTCTACAGTTGGCTCCGGGCATTCAAAATGTGGCCTGGAAATGGTGTTCTGGGAACACGAAGAACACACAGTGGCCTACAGTTGGCTCCGGGCATTCAAAATGTGGCCTGGGAATTGTGTTCTGGGAACACGAAGAACACGAAGTGGCCTACAGTTGGCTCCGGGCATTCAAAATATGGCACAAGACTTGTGTTCTGGGAACACGAAGATCACGAAGTGGCCTACAGTTGGCTCCGGGCATTCAAAATGCGGCCTGGGGATGGTGTTCTGGGAACACGAAGAACACGAAGTGGCCTACAGTTGGCTCCGGGCATTCAAAATGTGGCCTGGGAATGATGTTCTGGGAATGGATGCCTCAGGATTCCTAAGAATTCTTAAGGATTCCTAAGGATTCTTGGGGCTGCCGGATCTGTGCGGAGCTGTCCGGATCCCGCCCAGACCCCCCTGGGGCGGCTGCCGGATCTGTCCGGATCTGTCCGGACCCCGCCCAGACCCCCCTGGGGCGTCTCTTTTGACCCCACTAGAAACCTATAAGCAAAAGCTGCTAGGTAACAAACCACTGAAAATCCACGATTTGGGCATCTTCGGGCCGTCCCGGGACGCCTCTCGGACCTCTCAGGGGTCTCTTGAAGGTTACCTGGGAGCCTCGAGAGCCGTCGGAAGGCTGACTTGGGCTGCTTGGGAACGTTTTGGACAATCCTTTTGCATTCTGGAGGCTCCTGGGAGGCGTCTCGGGCCCTCCTGGAGCGCTGAGGAGGCCCCCCGGAACGCCTGGGGGAGCAGTACTGGGAGAGTTCCCGAGATGTCAAGGGGAAGTGTGGCACGGGCAAAATGGCTCGCATTTTCGGTTCCTCGTCCCTGTCTTGGGCGCCGACTTGGGGCGTTGTTGATCGGTTTAGGCGTCTCGTGGGCCTTCTTGGCCCCCTCGTGGGCCGTCTTGGAACCTTTTTGGGGGCATCCTCGACCGTCTTGGGTGCCTCTTGGGCCGTCTTGGACGCAGTGGAAGCCCAAAAAGCGAACACGCCAAAAATATCAGTTTCCCCATAGGACATCGACTATGTTTTGCTTATTTGGGCTCTCTTGGAGTGCCCCTTGGGAGCCTCCTGGGGGTCTCTTGGGGGCCTCTTGGAGCCTCTGGGGTGGGGCCTCCTGGGGACCTCCTGGGACCACCTGGGAGCCCCTGGGGCCGAAAGCTCGGAATTTGAATATGGTTGTGCACCTCTGGGACCCCTCTGGGGCTCGTCCTGGGGCTCTCTTGGGCTGTCTTGGGCTGTCTTGGGGGCCTCTCGGGCCGTCTTGGGACCCTCGTGGGCCGTCTTGGATCCCTCTTGGGAGCCTGTGGGGCAGTGTTGGGGGCCTATTTGGCCGTCTTGGACGCCGTGGACGCCC